ATTTGTGTTTCTTTTGGGCTGGAGAGATGGCTCAGTCATTAAGAGCACTGTCTGTTCTTCCAAAGGACCCAGGTTCAACTCCCAGCACCCACATGGCAGCTCACAGCTGTCTGTGATTCCAGTTCCAGGTGGTCTAACACCCATATACCGCACATAAAATAAAAATAAATAAATTATTATTTAAAAAAATGATAGTGCTGAGGACAACAGACTCATTATGTATTTGATGTTCTGTTTTTGTTTTTGTTTTTTTGAGAACTGTTGAATTTATGAGCCCATTTGTTGATAGACAGTTCTTTTATAAATTCTAAATGTTAGGCCTCTTTGTACAAATGAGGCTTCTGTACGTTGTTGTTTCATCTCTAGGTCCTCTGTTTGGTTTTACTGGTTGGCCTCGCCCCATTCCTGGGTGAGGCATCTTTGTTAAGTTGCCTCCAGTTATGCTCGTTCTATTTAGAATGGCTTTGGCTCTTCGTGGTAGTCTTAGGTAAGTTGTCTTCTCTTATGATATAAAAAACATGACCTAAAGCAGCCTGCAAAGGAAAGGCTTTGTTTGGGGGACGTCAGGGTAGGAACTCTGGCCAGGAACTGAAGCAGAAGCCACGAGAGAGTGCTGTGTGGTAGCTTGCTCCTCATAGCTTGCTCAACTTTCTTTCGCGCCTAAGACCAGTCCAGGGGTGCAACAACATATAGCAAGCTGCCCATCGGCCATCAATTAAGAAAATGTACCACACACTCCTACAGGCCAAACTGATGGAGGCCTTTCTCTGTTCAATGACTCTAGGCATGTCAAGTTGACATAAAACTAGCCAGGACAGTTTACCTCTTGTAAAGTTTACACACAAACACATGACTATTCAACAAGAACCCTCTTTTTCTTCATTTGTATTCAAGATGGCATAACATTGCAATTACAAAATAAAACGTCCCAACTTCCAAAAGTTCCACAGCCTTTCAAAATTCAAACTTTTAAAAAATTTGGTCTCTTCAAAGTACCCAAAGTCTTTCAAAGTTCAAAGTTCCTAGAAAATACCCAAAGTTTCTCTAAAATATCCAAGTATAAAATATTCTAAGTCTCTCTAAAACCCAAGGTCTGTCAACTGTGGACTCCTATAAAATAAAAAATAAGTTACATACTTTCTTAATAATAAAAAAAAAAAAAACCAGAAGAACAAGAACTGGTCACAGCCACAAGCAGAGCAAAGCAAAACCAAACTATGAGAGTACTGAAAAGTTCAGTGTCTGACTTGTAGGGCTGCTCCATCACTCACACTCTTCCAGGGCTCTTCTAAAGGCCCTGTTTCTCCTGCTCTGCCTTGTTACCACAGTGTGTCCTCTGAATTCCAGGTGGCTCCAGCCTGCAGCAGCTGCTGTCCTTGGCAGTCGTCCTCTGGTTCTCACATCTCCAGTGCTGGGCCTCCATTGCAGTGGGGCTGCCAGCTCCAGTACCCTCTGATGGCCTCTCCTCGGGGACTGTGACCTCCCATGTGCTTTCAAGCCTCCACTTTTCTCCGTGAGCCCTCTAAGCATATGGTTTCTATGGAAACTGGGGTTGTGCTTTCACTGGGGGCCTCTCCTGACAACTGTAGCCCTGCCACACAGTGCCATGCCTCAGCTCCTCTTCATGCCTTTAAAACCAGTGCTATCTGGGCAGCTCTTGCACATTTCTAAGTTCAGCCACCAGCACACGGTACAGCCTTGGCTAACTCTGGACCACAGCTTCCACGTGCTGGTCCTGGAGAAACACTTCCACATTTTTCCTCAGGATTGCTGGTCTTTTCTTAATCATTGCTATTTTTTCAGTTCCAGTTAACCAATATTGATTGTCCCAATAAAGCAAAATGTATTGGAAATCACAGCCAATTCTTCATCTCCTGCTGGCCAGAACTTTTCATTTAAAATATCACTCAGGTGGCCAGGTTAGAGCCTGTACTTCCTCAGAAACATCTCAAGCCAGCTCTCCACTGCCTTTGCTATCTGGGTCTTCTAAGCTCCCGGACAATAGCCTGCTGAACTCTGAGCACTCAGTGGCTTTTCCAGCACAATAATGGGATTTTAGCATAAACATCCCCAAAATATGTGGTCAGGTCAGGTCTGTCACAACACCTCATGAACCTGGCATCAATTTTGTTTTAATTAGGGTTTCCAATGTGATAAAACACCATGACCTAAAGCAATTTGGTGGAGGAAAATGTCTATTTCACCTTACTGCTTACAGTCTATCGAGGCTGGAACCTGGGAGTGCTGCTGACTGGCTTGCTCTCCTCAGGGATTGTTCAGCCTGCTTTTTACAGCAGCTCGGACCAACATCCCAGAGTGAGCTGGGCTGGTCAATCATCACTCAAAAACTATCCCCGCAGACGGCTATGGGCCAGTGTAGGGGAGTATTTTCTCAGTAGAAGTCCCTCTTCCCAAATGACTCTAATGTATAGAGTTGACATAAAACTAACCAGACTAACTAACTAACTGATCTATTGTGATTGTGTACGAATTCTTGAATTGCTTTGATATAGTTCTGTGAAGAATGACATCACAGTCCTATTGGGAATTGCATTCAATCTGTAGAATATTTCTGGTAAGGTAGCTATTTTCATGATATGTATTCATGTTATTTGCTGATCAGGACCATGAAAATTCTTTGCTTCATCTGGTGTCTTAGTTAGGGTTTCTATTGCTGTGAAGAGATACCATGACAAAGGCAACTCTTATAAAGGAGCATGTTTAATTTGGGCTGGTTTAGAAATTCAGAGGTTCGGTCCATTATCATCATGGTGAGAAGAATGTGAGTGTCCAGGCAGACACGGTGCTGGAGAAGGAGTTGAGAGTTCTGCAGCTTGGTCCTCAGCCAGCAGAAGGAGACTATGTTCCACACTGGCTGGAGGCTGAACATAGGAGACCTCAAAGCCCACAGTGACACACTTTGTCCAACGAGGCCACACCGCCTAATAGTGACACTTTCTCTGGGCCAAGCATTCAAACCCAGAGTCTGTGCAGGCCATTCCTTTTCAGAGCACCACATTTAGGTTTGCTTGTTTGGTTTTTTCTTTAATTTTCAGTATTTTGAAGTTTTCAGTGTAGGGGTCTTTCATTTCCTTGATTTTAGCTACTTTGTTAGGGCTATTGTGAATAAGATATTTCTAAATTTTTTCCTCTGGGAGTTCATTGTTCATACTTATGAATGTTAATGAGTTTTGATTTTGTGTCCCAAAATTTTACTTAAAATGTTTCTTCGATACAAAAGTTTCCTGGTTGATGCTATAGGAACTTTTAAGTTTGGGCTAGCTTACCGTATCCCTTTCTTATGTTTGTTCCGGTGTCTTTTTCTCCTCTAATCCTATTGCTAAGACATAGGACACTGTATTGAATAAGAGAGTGGAGATGGGCATTCTTGTCTCATTCCTGTTTTCTGGGGAAATGATATCCGTAATTTTCCCTTTTGGTAAAATATTGGTTAGAGATTTGTTATATTATACATGGCCTTAATGTGGGCCTTTTGCCTCTTTCTGTCAGTTTGTCTGAGGGTTTGTCAGTATTATTAATTTTTTTTTCAAAGAACTGATATTTTTTATTGATTTGGTATGTTCCTTTAATTTCTGTCCTAATCTTTACTATTTCTTGCCATCTGCTGAGTTCGGAAATCAATCTGGTGCTTTCTCAGACAATTAGAAATAGTGCTACCTCAAGATTCAGCTATACCACTCCTAGGCATATATCCAAAAGATGTTCAAGTACACAAGGACATTTGCTCAACCATGTTTGTAGCAGCTTTGTTTGTAATAGCCAGAACCTGAAAACAGCCCAGATGCCCCTCAACTGAGGAATGGATACAGAAATTGTGGTACATTTACACAATGGAATACTACTCAGCAATTATAAGCAAAGAAATCATGAAATTTGCAGGCAAATAGTGGGAACTGGAAAAGATCATCCTGAGTGAGGTATCCCAGAAGCAGAAAGACACACACGGTATAGACTGACTTACAAGTGGCTACTAGACCTATAATACATGATAAAGCTACAAAAATCAAGCTAAACAAAAAGGAGGACCCTGGGTAAGATGATCAGTCCTCATTCAGAAAGACAAACAGAATGGACGTTGGAAGAAGGAGAAAACAGGGAACAGGACAGGAGCCTACCACAGAGGGCCTCTGAAAGACTCTACCAAGCAGTGTATCAAAGCAGATGCTGAGCCTCTTAACCAAATTTTGGGCAGAGTGCAGGGAATATTATCTCCAAAGAGGACAGGAGTGCCACATAGAGAGGAACAGAATCAAAATATCTGGGCACAGGGGTCTTTTCTGAGACTGATACTCCAACCAAGGACCATGCATGGATATAACCTAGAACCCCTGCACAGATGTAGCCCAGGGCAGCTCAGCATCTAGGTGTGTACCCTAGTTAAGGGGAACAGGGACTCTCTCTGACATGAACTCAGTGGCTGGCTCTTTGATCACCTCTCCCTGTAGGGGGAGCAACCTTGCCAGGCCACAGAGGAGGACAATGCAGCAAGTCCTGATGAGACCTGATAGGCTAGGGTCAGATGGAAGGGGAGGAGGACCTACCCTATCAGTGGACTTGGAGAGGGGCTTAGGAAGAGATGAGGGAAGGAGGGTGGGGTTGGAAGGGATTGACAGAGGGGGCTAGCTGTGTAGCTGTTCTTGAACCCAGAGATTTCCCTGAGTTTCTCTAAACAGTTCTTTTTGTTGTTGTTTTGGCTGTCCTGGAACCAGCTCTATAAATGGAACTGGCCTTGACTTTATAGAGATCTGCCTGAAGCTTGTGTCACCACCACCGGCCCCAAACAGAATTTCTCTTACAACCAAAATCTTACATGAAAGATGTACAAGGATGAAGTTCATAAGAGAAATGAGAAATTGAAAGATCTTGAGAGAGACTCAAATGTATTATGTAGTTGTAGAAGCTTAAAAGGAAATGTTTAAAGCACGATTTGTAAATAGTTACAATATTTCGTTTTATTTTTTGTTTTCCTAAATTTCTAGGCACTTGGGGGTGTCCCAGGAAGTCAGCCGCTACTGCCCAGTGGGATGGACCCAACACGACAACAAGGTAACTAAAGTAGACGTGAAGCTCATGTGCTGAACTAGTGAGGAAATTTTCTTTTCTTTTCTTTTCTTTTCTTTTCTTTTCTTTTCTTTTCTTTTCTTTTCTTTTCTTTTTTCTTTCTTTCTTCTTGTCTTTTTTTTTTGTCTTTTACTCTTTTGAGACAGGGTTTCTCTGTGTATCCTTGGCTGTCCTGGACTTGCCTTGTAGACCAGGCTTGCCTCAAACTCACAGAGATCCACTTACCTCTGCCTCCCAGAGTGCTGAGACTACAGACATGGGCTACCAGCCAGCATCCAACTGAGGAAATTCTTTAAGATCTTCATTGGTATGAATAGTCCATGATTTTACCAGACGCATTTTCACAGCAACATGAATAAATGGTTTACATTTTCAGCTAACTCTTAATTATGCACAATAGCAGAGTAGAGGTGCTGACATAAGAGATGGAATAATAAAATGTCTAAAATCTTGTATGACTTCTGATAAGTAGGAAGTTAAATGATTGTGCATTTATCAGCCCCTCTTCCTTCTTCAGAGAGAGGACTTAGTGATGATAGTAGACAAGTGTATGGAGTAACAAGTGACTTCATCAGCTCAACAGTCCCAGTAACCTGGTCCTTCCTTGGGGGTGTTTAGATGCCATGGATATCTAAGGCTGTATTGTCCTAAGGAAAGAGGAGCAAAGGCTGTGAAAGAAGTATTCAACACAGAGAAGGAAGAAAATTTTAACCAAGAAAGCAATAGATATTATGGGGTAGGTGATAGCCAAAATCAGTTGGTGGCAATGCTCTGATACCTACCTAACAAGAGGGTACTAGCCTCTAGTGTAGCGCTCATAGCTGTCCTATTGCTAATCGCTCCACACTTCCTTTAGGACATCCAAATATGGGTGGACCAATGCAGAGAATGACTCCTCCGAGAGGAATGGTGCCCTTAGGACCACAGGTAAATATAATCAGCACTGAGAGTGAGACACTGGGCTGCTGCCTCCTCTGGTACAAGGGCATGGTTTGCTGGGTTTTAGCACATGCATTGAAGTATGGACAGACCTCAGGTGCTGGTGGCACTGGCCACATAGATCTCACTTAAAAATTCTGAAATAAAAAGCACACCCGCTTCTATGCTTCATTTATTCTATAAATAGCTGTAACATTTTATATTATAAAAAATTAAAAACGATAATAAAAACTTATCTCTGACTAGTAATAGCTTCCTGATGACTTTTAGTCACTGTTTATTGTGTTAGTAGGAATACTTCCTCTTCAAAATCAGATAATAGTTTATTTTTTCCTATTTGTATTAGCAGTATCTTTTTATCTATTTCTATTAATGTGAAGGAAATAAAGTAACTTGGTATAAATTTACTTCCAAAACTATAAATACCAATAATAACACTAAAGGCTAAACCACACAAAATAGGATTAAAGAAGATTAATTGTTAATGCCATACATCTAAACAGTAGCCAGAGATGTGCTCATGAATGGGACGACGGAGAAAGTTGAAGTGAAATCATTTGGAAGGGCAGGAATCTCATGACAGGCATTGCATATCAAACCTGTCAGACAAAATGTGTGCATCATTTCCTGAAAGATAATGAAAAATAATTTCTACAGCAGACATTTGCTGTGTAGCTGCCACCTCAAAGCAAACTGCCCTGTCTCTTTAAACCTGTATTGTGGAAACTGGCTCTGAGATGGTGTTTGCAGCTCTCTGTGTAGACAAGCATATGTACATGTTTGTTTTGTTTGAGACAGGGTCTCACTGTGTAGCCCTGGCTGGCCTGGAACTCATTCTATAGACCAGACTGACCTTGAACTTACAGAAATCATCCTGCCTCTCCCCTGAGTGCTAGGATTAAAGGCCTGTGTCACTGACCAGTCCCCCCCTACCTTTTCACTGATGGTTTATCACTTCTGTCGTTTTTTACCTTAAGATATATGTAATAAAGCCATTTCTAGGAACAACTTGAGCCTGAAACAAAGAAATATACTTGGCATAATGGTTGTTGAATGCTGTGAGTTAAGCAAGTGCATACAGAATATATGGCCATGTGGTCAGTGTGTAATGGGGACATAAATGTGGTCAAGCCGTGTTTGTAATCTGTTTTGATCTAAGGGCAGCAGTAGCAAATGAGTTTTATATTGATACCAATATACTTTCAGTATAAAAGCAAAATCTTTATAGAAAAAAATCTTCTAACACTATATCTGGAATAGTTTTCTTCGTTTCTTTTCTATGAGTCACTTAGCTTACGTAACTGTGTCCTTAAAATCAGCAAGTTCCATGGGATTAATGGAAAAAGTCACTTAAATTGAACACCTATTTCAATATTCTCTATAATTTTGAAGGGTAAATAAGTAAATTACACACCTGTACTTCCTGAACTCAGGAGGCTGAGGCTACACCTACTATATATCAGATATCTTACTTGACTGTTGAGTATAAAAATATTAATGAAATAGGATCTCCATCTTCAAGATGCATACTGTTAAAGGAGAAAATACAACTGCATTTAGAAAGGTTATTATCTAATACTAAATCTCTAGAAAACAAAACATGTAACCTTGTCTAGTTTTCAGCGATTTATCACAGAAGAGAGGCATGATGCTTTAGAGTTGAGGATGCATGGGGGTGAGGGGTAAAGGGCCCCATTCTGTTTATCAACAGCCATGGGAAATGATTAACAGCTACAGTTTTTAAGTAGAAAGAGCCATGGTTTAAGTCATGGTTTAAGTCATCAAGCATACTGGTGATTTAGATGTCATTTTATCCTACAAAAAGTCTAAATATAAATTAATATTGCCATAAAAGTAAGGAAAATAAGATTAAGAGAATCAGTGGCCCATATAGAAGAGTAGCTACTGTGGTACACACCTGCAATTCCTGCACTCAGGAAGCTGAGGCAGGAGGATCTCAAGCCCAAGGCCAACTGGACTGTGTAGGGAGACCCTGGCTCACAGAGGCAGGTTATTGTAGAGACCGTAATGGCAACAGAGATGCAAGTTAATATATTTCTCTGCCCAGAGCTCCAATGGAATATTGGATTTTCTGAAACTCACAAAGAAGGAGAAAGGTAGCCAGACTTCTTCATGAAGCACCTGTGCCTTACTTTACCATATGTAGTTTTCATTTCCATGACTTTTGGCTCTGAAATCCCTTGCTAATTATTACCCCTACTATCACCATGCTTTGTGCAAAGATTAACACAATTATCTGCTCTCTTAACTGAAGACTCCTCTTGCTAAAAATGATTAACTTAGTGCTCACAAACCCGAGCATAAATAATATTTCCTTAATGTAAAAGTGAGTAAGCAGAGGAGCAGGTGGCCAGGTGGTTTATCTATCAAGTATGGCATTCTGTCTAGAGTTAACAGGCCTTTCCATCGATTCATTTTCTCATCCTCTTAACACCTCCTCCAAAGTGTTCCTGTAGGGTGAGCTAACATGATTATGAAGGTCTAGCTTCTTTAATTTGGAAAAATCCAGTAGACTCGAAATAAAACTGTGAGAAGTTGGAAAATGTTGGACACAAAGGCAGAAAGCATAGTTTGGGGCTCGGTTGTGAGTAACCTTATGAGGATATACTAAGGAGTTTAGGCTTGTTTGACAGGTCATCTGGGCCATCATAACTGTGATTAAGAAAATTGCTTGAGGAAGTATACAGAGGAAATTGGGGAAAACCAATTAAGATAATGCAGCTGCCTTCACACTAGGAAGTAGAACCCTGTGTCATGACCTTTCGCTGTCAACAGAAACTAGAAGTTGACCAAGTAGGAAGTTTTGAAACAGAAAAGACATCAAGGAACTTCTAGAAATTACTAGCATGGACTATTATGTGGTAGGTGGTGCCAAAGGACTAAAGGAAGAGTAAACATGAAGAACTTGGCCACACCCAGATGATGTTGTGTATTTCTGTTTGCTGAGCATAAGGTAGTAGCCAGGCAGAACCTACCACTGTGGAGGTCAGCAATTTAGGAACTTGGTGAGACCTGATAAAATAGACTCAAAGTTTAGTGAATAAACAGTGTTTGAACAGATTGTAGCAGATAAGATTACCTGTGACTGTGTATTTATTGAAAATAATACTGTAGCTAAAACTTGAGGAAAAGCAACATTTAAACAGTGAACAAAACCAAAGAAGTCACAAATGTAACTGGAATGTTCTCACTCAGAAGACGAGAAAGATGTAGCAGGCAGTGACGGTGCCAAATGTGTTAAGGTGATAATCAGAAAAGTAGCATTTGACCCTTATTGTCAACTAAAGTAAGCTAATATGATATGCATATAAAAGCATTAAACTGCCTTACATCACCTTCAATGCACAAGTAGGTATTGCCTGAAGTTTATTGGGTCACATAATTCATGTTTTCAGTATGCTTTAGTTCTCATGTAGTTTGGGTATTTATACATAGTGCTTTCCATATTGGATATCTTACTCTATGAATAGAAGCTTATATTCAACATTCTTGGGTTGGGTTTACCTGTTGTATTTCTTTTCAGACTTTATGAAATTGATCTTATCTAACAGTTTCAAACCTGTTGAATGAAAATTTTACCTAAAAACATATTTTTGGACTTATGAAATGTTTATTTGAAAAAGTAACTAATGTACAGATATTAGATAACTAATAAAATATGCCAAATATTATAATTTTGATCATACCTTGATCATTTAACAAGATCCAATGATTTTCCATATTCATAGAATTTTTAAATGGCATGGACCAAAGTGGTTGTGTTAAAATAGAAGCAAAAATACAAGAGTGGACCCTTCAGAGAATGAATTACACAGGCCTTATCCAATCAGGAGTTACGTAGGGAAATCATTAACCTGCTCTCCTTTCTTTCCCCCCTTCTCTTTGGTTTTGTTTTTTTGTTTTGTGGTAGTCTGACCCTTGGTTATCATTACAGAACTATGGAGGTGCAATGAGACCCCCACTGAATGCTTTAGGTGGCCCTGGAATGCCTGGAATGAACATGTAAGCAAAATGCTTATTACTCTGTTTAGTGAAGTATTCTGTATTCTGTACCTCAGTGTCTTTACTGTATGAAAATGAACTAAACATGAGTGCAATTTTTGCTTCATTTTCATGACTTACTATCATGTTTTTCTTCTTCCTACGCAACTTTTTTTTTTTCATTTAGGTACCATTATCACAACTTTTAGCCTGCTGCTTTTTTAATAATTATGTATAGATTCATATAGAATCTATATAACACTATGAAGAGATGCAGACACCAGAACTATGCACTAAATCGACAGAAGTTAATAGTTGAGAAGTTAATCTCTATTCATGTTAATAATTCTTTGCATTAACTGACAGAACAGTTAGTCTCATAAACATGTGTCTTCATTTGTATCATTGGGACTACTTTCAACACAAACAAAATCTCTGTGGTGATATCCTCTGTATTGAAGAGCTACTCACAGTACAGGACTGATTCTGCTTGAAAACTCAAGTGTACCTGGGTGAGGAGTAAACTGAAGATGTCTGTTTTACTGGAATGTCCTTCCTTTCCAGTCTAAAAAGAGTCATTTCTGTATAGTGAAGTTCATTAAGGAATTTTTATTTCTTTCGCATTCTCCAACCTTCCCTTGAAGGCCTGCGTACACTAGACTCTGTTCATGAGTTCACCAGAGGATCACTGATGTGATGTGGCCTACAGGAGCCTCGTCAGCGCTCCATGCAGACTTAGAAAGTTCTCCTCAACTTTCTTTCCCGTCTGCCTGTTTTTAGCTCCTTACATATTAAATGAAACAACTCTGCTATCATCCAGTGGCATGAAGGCATACTGTGAAATAAGCTCTTTTGATGTATGCAGGGTTTTTTTTTTTTATGCTTCTGAAACCATTTTCATAGGATGCAATTTCTACTAAAACTGAAAATAGGTTAATAAGTAGATACCAGCCAGACTCAAAACTAACAGAACAGGGAGGAAAGTAGGTCAAATTTTCCTTTTGAAATAAAAATGGATAGACATGAAGTCTGGCTCTTCTTGAACTCCTCAAAGGCTCACCCTTTTATTAATGGTTGCTACAGAAGGGTAGAATATTTTGTGCTTATGTCAAAAGCTGGAGCTCCTATCAGTAGGGCAGAGAAATACATGAAACATAATTTTAGATTCTCATTTTAAAAGTCAATATATTTTAATAAATTTTGAGTATTTTGATCAAGCAGGTTGCCACAAGTGATAAGAAATATATCAGCACCATTTAGCATAGTAATCTGCTGTGTGCTTAGCTGCACAGCCACCTGGATGTAGACCTGCATTTGCTGGAACATAGTAACTTGAAAGAGTGAAACAATTACTTAAAATTATCCTTTCTTCTCTTGTGTGTGCTTAAGTGTTTGCATGTGAATGCTCTTAATTCCCTAGACTATAAAGACTAAAACTATGGCTGAAGTTATTAGGATTTTGGAGGGTGCTATTTGGACTTCTTAAGTAGTCTTGATAGTTTGAAATAATTTATGAGATTTTACTATTGATATGAAGTCCAGTTCTTTAAAAGTATGAATTCTTACACGCTTACCCCCATTTTATGTTGTATTCCCTTTTATTTTGGAGTTTCCTATCATTTTTTTTTCATTTTTAGTAAATTTGGATTCTTTCAGGGACAATGAAAAAATACATATGTATTTCGGCGTAATAACCTCTGGCATGGAAACTTTCCAACTAATGAAGTTCTAGTCAACTCTGGTATTAGTTGCATTGCTGTCATTCCCAGCAATTCAAAGGCGGACTGGGACAGAATAACACTGTATCTTCATTACACTTGTAAAACAAATTGAATTAAAATTCATACCATTATTTTAGAATCTTTAAAACAAACATGTGACACCCTTCAGAATTTTTGAATGGCATCGGTGGCTTTCTTCACGCCATTTTACAAAGAAAAAAGCAAGAAAGCAAGAAGCAAGCCCTGGTAGACTAGAATCAGCAGCTAAGACCTGGTATCCCGTAAGCTCCACCTTGGCCTGTTTGCCCAGCTGAGAGGATCAGGGTTAGGAGTGAGGACAGGCCGGCAGGGACCTGGGGAATGTTTCTTTACTTAGCTTTCCTTCTCATTTGCCATGAAAATATAACAAGAGCGGGGGAAAAAAATCCCTGGCCACCCCAGTAATTAAAAGCTATATTCCGACCAGCCACCATAGCTTTCAATTGCAGAATTAAAAATTCACAACAAAAAATGTGTTAAGTTCATTAATGAAGGTTAATGAAATGAAAATTGGTCACTTGTAACAAAGGGTTTACAGTGGTGGGAACCTGATACTTCTGTGTTCTGAACTCAGGGCACACTGACTAACATCACCCTTACTAACATTCAAAGGAGGATTTCAACAGTTTTATGACAATGTCATGTATTTACAAGTAAGCACCCCATATTAAGTGGCTTACAGTGCAATTTACAAAGTATAGCCACGTGTCAAGATTTTCAAATGCATTGTGGACCCCTTGGAAAAGGAGCACGAGGAGCAGAGCACATCTGCACCGAGAAGCTGAACCTCCACAGGGGCCTGCAGCCTGCCCCGGCAGCCTGCAGCCCTTTATTGGCAAGGCTCTGCAGAGAGCCAGAGGCTTCTTCATAGGACTCCTCAGTGGGCATGTAAGCTGGGGAACTCCACAAGAGAGGCCTGTAGAACTCACCAAGAATATAGACATCTTTTACATTTCCTTCTCTTTACTTTCAAACAAGGCTCATCTGCCTAACTTTCATTCAGAATAATGTCTGTGACACACTCGTCAGCTCAGCTTCTTGGTAATTACTGAACTTACTGAGTTGTTCTTTAAAACCACTAGGTGTTTTATTCAGCACTATTTGTGGAACTTTTTAGTGTATTTATATGAGTTTATATGTAATTTCCTATAATATTAAAATGAAGTTTAATATGAAATACAGAATTTGTGAAATATCTTCTCCATATATTGTTTTAAAAAATGCATTGACTTTTGTGTCAGGGATGTGCATGCCACGGCATGTGTGTGGAGGCCTGAGGAGAGCATTCAGGGACCCCTTCTCACTTTTCCCATGTGGGTCTAGGGGACAGAGCCCAGCCCAGGAAGTTCAGCAGCAAGCACCTTTACCTGCTGGGCCATGCTCTGGGCCTAGTTCCCACAGTCTTAACTGATTATATTCAAAGCTTTGATATTATTAACCAAATGCCATCATAATACTTAAACCTTTTTGTGGTTTAAATATTTTCTAAGTTGTTTCAAGACAGATATTTACCTGTTTCTTCATTCCATTGTATTTAGCATCAGACAAACTATGTGGCTAAGTCTTCCTACCTAAAGGTTTTACTTGATGAACATACGTCCCGCTTTGCATCATTTTATGTCCATTAGGACACCGAATCCTATATAGAAATCATCTTTCAAAAGTGTTCAGTAAATTTCAAAAGTATTCAGTAATGAATTATAAAATCGTCACCCCTTTGTCTTCCTTATCATCAGCATCACCTCCAGGGGAGACTACCGGGTGCATTTGGACAGAGCCTAAGGGGTGTCATCCCATTCCCCTCTGTTCCCTCGAGAGAACAAACCAAAGCTGAGTAGTTGTAAGGATCCCAAGCAGACACTGCCAGTACAGTCGGTAACTTGGACAGTGTCTTCTTTTCACGTTTATTACTTTAGACTCAAGATTCCCAGACTCAATGGACTTTTTAAAATTAGAACATATTCACTGCCTTAATGAGTAGGAAGAAAAAATTCAATAAACCTAATAAAAGTAGAGTTTTAAAACTAGTCTGCTGTTCACAAAACAATATTTATTCAAGTGTACTTAATACCACAGTCCAAGTATATGAATTCAATTTAATTAACTGGGCATTAATTTTGTTTATAGGATATGAAATATAAAACAGCCTCCTGAATTCTAAAATGAAGTAATATATTGGCATAGATTATCTTCTTTCATTTCAAGACTTGCTTTCTCTACTATCTTCAACTAAAATGATGAAAATATGCATTTTTATAGCAACATATTTATAAAGTTTTAATCAAACTTATATCATATATGATACAGTAAATTATAGTGGCTGATTTTTCGAGCTGCGATACAGAGCATGTCCATTTAAAGGCTGTGTGCTTTCCTGGCGATGACAGTACTGAGGGCTTAGTAACTCATTTGCAGCCTTGTATGGTAATGGCCAGGAGCCTACTGCTAGACTTAGTGCCTCCCAGGGGCAGCTAAGTCATCATCAGCATTAAAAGATGTGTTAACATATATTTCCATATAATTTTAAAGGAGGCAAGTTTAGAGAAGGGTTACTTGTAATTTAAGAGTATCATTTATGTAGTTATTTTACAAACTGTCATTTTGAATGATATACAGGTGGCTCATACTGGTGTCTTAGATTATATTTATCTATATTTGATCCCTTTTACTCTAGAACTGGTAAAATTATTTGGGACCATATATACACTGCTATAGGTGGTTCTATTTTTTGTTTATGAAAAGTAAATATTAAACTAGCTATACATGAAACTTTTATTAAGTAAGATTTTTGCATTCAAGAAAAAAACATTTAGATGACTGAAACGATTTCAGTGCTTATATAGAACCATGCATGGCAACTGAATAACACACAATTGTTTTCTGCTTTACTCTTTACTTACTGTGGAACCACTGAGGCACAGCTTGAAATTTAATCTGTCATATCATTTTATAGGGGTCCAGGTGGTGGTAGACCTTGGCCAAACCCAACAAATGCCAATTCAGTGAGTATATATATATTTTCACTTTGTAACATTTAGCAGTGAAAAGACTATTGCTTTTGAGAGCTTCACAGTCTGTTGTGTTAAGCTCTCAAATTAGTTGCTCAAAAGTAGTTTGTTTCTATTCTTTTAGAAAAAAGTATCTAATTTTTGAAATAATTTAATTTTTATATTTCAATATGTAAAATGTGTTCTATCAGTTAATAGATTTTCAAAAGTAAAGATAGAAATAGTGAGTGTAAAGAATAGTTTGTATATCAGTCTATGCTAAGCATTTGGTTTGATCTTGTGACAGTTAATAAGGTCACTAAGTTGCAGATGAGTCTCAGTTGAGGGAACTGAATCTCTCTGACTATGTGCTGTATTTGTCAGACCAGCCAGGGTCACATTTGCCTGTTAGCTAAATTGCCACTGCTGCACATCTGCGTATCTGACATCCTGGGACTTTTCCTTATATTCTGTGGCAGGGGTTTAATGCATTGTTTTCTCTTCGTGAGGTTACAGAAATACACGCACAGGTTGAAGACTGAACTGTCAGGTTTTTACCGTTATCACCCTGGAGCTGGTTTTAGTGGGTGAGAGACCTGCTGTCCGCCGTGGTGTGGTGTGCACACTGTCCACAGACGCCCGAGCGTGGTAGTGGCAGCCTGGGCTTCCTGTCTGAAGTCCATGGCGCTGACAGAGGGCGGCGCAGTATGCTCGCTGTGCTCAGGTGCTCCCACTCCTTGGCGGTAGCCTGAATGTTAAGGAAGTCTGAAACGTGGCTAATACTTAAGGTTAATTCAAAACTTCAAGAAAGTGGAAAATAAGATGTGTAAGGTATGTAAAAATCGCTGTAGAGCCATTGCTGTTTTCAAGCAAAAGCCAAATTCCTTCCAGCCAGTTAAATCATTAATATTTTAGAGAAAAGATTAATTTTGTATAATCTTATTTTCTTTTGGTTTTGGTAGTCATGACATTTGGTAAAGAGAAAGATGTTTTCTACTTGGGCCTTCAGTGAACTATTCAAATCTTTCTAAAATATTATTTTGCCAGATTGTGTTATAACATGGACAGTTTTAGTTGCCTCAGGAGACTTGTCCTTTGCTTCATGCTCTTCTCCTGAGCTGGTTTGTCCAAGACTTTGCCTTGAAATGGCAGCTAACCTGTAGACCCAAGAACATTTCTTTTGTCTATTAAAATACCCATTAAATGTAGAAAAATACCGTTCTTGTTTTGTTCCTAGGTGACATGGAAATCTGTGACAGCCTTCCTAGTACCGCAATCTAGAAGGAATCCCTGTTGCTACCATTTTTGATGAAATTCCATAGGAAAGTGAAGTCCACACTTCACCTTAAGCTTAGCATCCACCCAGCCATCCACTGCAGGTAGAGAGCCATGGCACATGTCCATCAGCACCTTTTGATGCACACCTGAGAGGACAGCCAAAGCTGCTGAGGCGCATGGTAGCCTGTGGGGAGGTGACGCAGGAAGAGCTGTGTTGTCCCTCATAGTTTATTGTCCAAATAAAGTGTATTTACTAGAGGCACAGCTGAGAAGTGACTCCCACACTTGATAAATTCAGATGTGAGCCCTCATCTCTTCAGGATTCATCCGAGCAGCATGGGTAGAGAATGTATTCGCCAAGTCAGTGGCCCTGAATCATCCTAGACCCTGAGAAATACTAGGAACTACAGTGGAAGTGGGCAGTAGCCTGCTCTGTGACCAGTCTGGAATGTGTTTGGCCAGCACAGATGTAGGCGAGTACGGATTGAAAATGGTTCTCTCTGTTAACGTATACACAGACAGAAATACACAGAGCACAGAGCACACATCAAGAAAACAGAGACGTCAGGGGCTTCTCCAGAAAGAAAGAAGCCATCACCCTGAGCATGCAGAGGAGCAGTATTCCTCTGAAAGGCACTGAACAGAATAAAGAAGACACAGTAGACAGTGGATGGCTTTCTCAAAGGGAGGAGCTTCCACAAAACAGAATAAAAAGAGTGAGAGGGACTTCTCTCCCCCAAACACAACTGATTAATTTTTAGTGATAATTCATGTATTATTTTGAATTCTAAGTTCCTTGGACTTTCTGTACATATTATTTAAGACAAATGCCTTTCAGCTGATATCAGTGCAGTATGTGCCTGCCTCCTCAGGGAACATAGGAAAGTGGGCTTTTGGAGTGTTTTTTTTTTTTTTTTAAGATTTTTTAAAATATGACTAAGCTTTCCCCCATTATTTTGGAGTAATTTCAAGTTATCTAGAAGACCTGGAAGAAGGGTGGAGAGGATTTCCATGTGCCCTGCTCCAGGCCTCATTTATTGTGTCTTACTCATTGGCTGCAGGAGACCACCTTCTCTTTCATAAGCACCTCTCTGTTTTGGCTGTGTTTCCTGAGACTTTGCTCCTAGGTCTTCAGTATATCTCCTAAAACTAAGATATTATCTGTCATAGCTACAACACAGGGCTCAGAGTCATGGCACTGACCTCGACTAATGCTGTTTTCTAATCTACAGGTCTTATTTTAATTTTGTCAGTTGTCTAAATAATATATTTTGTGCCACTCATTGGCCATCCTCCTGGCGTGTTTCGTCTGGAACAGCTCCCCGCTTGTGTTTGTCTCTGTTACCTTGCACTTGTGCTGACTGTAGACAAATTGAGAATGTCCCATAACTTCTTTTGTCTAACCCCTTCCAGGATACGGGAGGAGCTCTGTGTTTTCCTAGGAGCATCATTGCAGGGGTCTGCTGGTGGACCTCTCTGGTCAGCACTGGTCCTGCCATTGTTTGGATGAGTTGTTGCTTGTACAATGTCAATTACACTAACCTTGCTGTTTTTCCTCTGTTAATATCCATATAAAACCATACTTGAAATTGTGGTAAATGCTCATTTTCTTCCTTCTCTTCAGCAGCCATTTTTGGCATCTGTTGATGATTCTTATCTATTTCCCATTGTGTGGCTCACCAAATAGATATTTTCCTTTTCTCTTTCTTAGTTAACTTTTTACTAGAGCAGAGGCTCATTCATTCTGAAAACACCCAGTTTATTTCTTTTTCATAATACTGATCGTGCAGATTAATAGACTTTTTGTTCATTCATCACATCTATCTACCCTTCAAACGTCTATCCTATCTTTTTTTGTTACTCCTCCAGAGCCTCCCCAGTCTTTAATATTCTTTTTAAAATACTGGTTTATGTTCTAAGAGTTCAAAAAAATGGTCTTTTTCCCCTTACCCCTGTTACTTTAAATTACATGAAGGCTGTGTTTCACCCCAGATTTTTATGTTTACAGCTTCCAGTTGAACACACACACACACTTGCGCATGTGTCTGAGTGTATGTAAGAGCAGCACATGTATGTAGAGGTCAGAAGAGCCGGTTGGAGCCTCTGGAACTGGAGTTACAGCATCGTTTGTTATTGAGCCCTTTCAAATAACTTGTGAGATGATTCTCAGTTCTCCAATCCTGCCTATTATGGTTGACACTACCCACAACTTCCTTTGCCATGTCTTTGCTGAAATTTTGCAGTGGTCTACTTGAATTCACCTTCCCTGGTTCCTGTAAAATCACGTTACTAAAGCGTGCATTTGAACATATCTGTAAAACCTCTTATTTCCTATAGCATGCATTCATTCCTGGCCCAGTCATGTAGCCTTATCATTCACTACCCAGCCCATAAGCCCTAGAGTGTAGCAGCCATAAAAAAAAAAAAAAAAAAAAAAAAAAAATCTCTAACATTCCCTGAATATGTGTGCAGTCTCTCGTTTCTTTTCCCTCCTTCAGTTCTTTTCCCCATCTTTTCTCATGTTATGCTGTCTTTCTGTGTGTCCAGATTTCCAGCTCACAAACATACCCACCACCTTCCATCGTACGTCTCTCTTTTGATGGAATATTTGGCTTTCACACCACACTGTCACACCCTGCTGGCAACTCTCAAGAGTGGAGGTTCAGTTATGTGTCAGGGGCAGATGCCCAAATACTGAATCAGAATCAGAAAACAGAAGAATGCAATGTACAAAGAGTAGTACATATAAGCCAAATAAAGCACTTAAGATGGAAATAAATTGCCAGCTAGATGAGAGAACACTGTTTAAAGTAATTAGGAATAATGATTCCGTCTCACCTGTAAAGGGATACTGAGGGGTTGGGGGATGGCAGGCTGGGCTGCTGACTTGGAGACTAACAGAAAGGTTTGTCTTCTCTAGGATAAAAGATGTGATTTTAAATCTGCAAACAATGGCATGCTGACGTGGAAATGACAGGAGGGCCAAGTATCTACTCAGGATGGCATAATAGCTCTGAAGGCCAGCTTTCAGAGTTTTTCATTCAGAAATTTCATGAGCTGTGTATTGAACCCCTTTGGTAACTTAAAATCTGTTATCTAGGAATATTATACCAAAACAGTGGGTAAAGACTACAACTCAAGAATTTTTCTTCCTCCTAGAATTTACTAGGCTTCTGTGCATATCTCTTCCATGCCAGGACTTCTGCAGGAAAGTCCTGAGCTGAGCCAGGAAATGGAAGGTGTTAGTACAGAGCAGTTACAAGTGCAAAGTGTGATTGTATTTGTGACCTTATCCTTGCCTTGTGCCTTCCTCCAGTAAATCTCTGTTGTAAACAGAAGGTAACTAGCATATGATCAAAGAAACAGGAACCAGTTTTCTAGTCTTTAATAGAATGAATTTAAGATATCTGAGATGAATCAACTGCAGCAGAAAGGAGAATGCAGAGGTAATTTAGTAACAAACTGACAAAGAGATAATTGACTAAGAAAACATTACAGAAGTGTGTAATGAAAAATAATCTGACAGGAATACAGGGTAAGTTTTGTAAGCATGAGGAGCAAGAAAGATGCCAGGCAAAGGAATTGTCCACATCTCAGTACAAAGGTTCTGAGCTCTCACAAAGGAAAGAGAAATGTTATAAAGTTCAGGGATGTAGCATATGGTGAATAACAAAGAGCCAAAAGATGGTTAGATTTTATCTCTCAGGTTTGTAGAAAGGTGTTAGACAGTATCAGAGTAGGAAAACACTGAAGACATAGGGAGATGAAGTTCATTCTAGGAATTGATACAATGTTGGCTCTCCAAAGGACAAATATATGTATTTAAAGTAATGTGTTTAAAGAGGTCAAGTGGTAGATCAGACTGAAAAAGGCACAAGAAACCAAAGTCATGCATTCTGAATCAAGTCCAGGTTTGATGCCATGAGAGAGTTTGGTACTTGGGGGGATGGAATCCTCTGCCTCTGAATAGTGGCTGAGCCTACAGTAGCTGCAGTCTGTTGGGCTCAACCCCAAAAGAAACAGCAAAAAAAAAAAAGTAGAGGCTTTGGCGATATGTGGTCTGTGCTTACAGAAAAGAAGGGCACCAAACAGTGAGGAGAAATACTTTTCAAATAGCCTCATATTAAATAGTTCCAAAATCATCAAGTATTTTAGTGGGAAATTTGTAGTTTACATACTTCCTTATTTATGATTTCATATCATACTATGTGATATAGCAAGTTTGGGGGCCATTCAGAGTACGGGAACCACAACATTTTCACCACTCAGAAGGTCTTATTCTGGCTTTAACTCTCTTATTCCAGGAAAACAAATTACTGTCTTTTCTCAGAATAAAGCATATGGATTGTATCGTGCAAGTGAGCTAGTGGGTTTGTGAAAAAGAAAATGTTTAACTTCTCCTATTAACACCCACACACAGGGGTTTATTTTAGAGTACACTTTTAATTCTTCACTTCACTAAAGTTATTGGAGTGTGGTAGATTAAAGCCTTCTTATACCCGGAAAACTGCCTCTTGTTTTTCGGATCTTATCGTCACAATTTCTCGGGCTTTGGACATTGTTGTCAGCAAATCCCTTTGAACGTATTGCGTTATTTTAATGCTAACTGAACGGGGAATGTGAGGCTTGTCCGGTGCTGTGTGGAGGTGGAATAAACTGGCCCTTCACATTTTATGTTCTCTAGATGTTTTGTCTGCACAGGATGCTGAAATGTCTTCGGTTCCTGGCTTTAGCTGCACAAGTGTACCTCTTTCTGTTTATAGAATGTCGCATTAGTATCACACGGTGGAGACAACTGACCTACGCCAATATCATTGGGAGCTCTAATTTTGAATTCTTCTTGACTGAAATCTACATTTTCTTGCGATTTCAATATACTGTTACAGTTGCTTGGATATTTTTGGCACTTTCACACTTAAATTGATAAAAGAGAAGTCAATTAATTTAATCTTATGTGGTCACATGAATGAAAATATGTTTCTGTCCTGCTCATGTTCTAGATACCGTACTCCTCAGCGTCTCCTGGGAATTATGTAGTAAGTACATTTGGGTTTGTTTGCTCATAAGAACTGATGTCACATTTTATCTGAGCAATGAAATTGTTGCCCAGATGTTAGGAAGAGCCCCTGTGTATTGACCAAGGAGTGAACATCTTGAGTTGTTTCATCTGCCAACCTCAGTACATATGTTGATGTTCATTAGTGAAACAGTTCTCAATCTGGCTAGAATTGCCTTAAGTACTCTGTTTTACTTTGGCATATGTTTCTGGAAGCTACTCCAATACTCTGTATCCAATCACGAAGAGAGCCATTCCCAGTTATACAATGATATGCTTGAATTCACAGTTCCTCACAAGAAAAGCACACGCGCTCCCTCCCCAAGCTCACTCATCACACATAAAGGCCAAGAAAACATAAAGTGTTATCCCAACCGCAAGTGGGATCAGACTGCAGGGTAAAGTAATAATTTGGAAAGATCTGTTACATTTTTTCTATTCCTACACATTGAAAACAAGAGGCTATTTCTGTTACTACCTAATACATGTTAACTTTTCTTAGTAATTCAATATAAATCTGAAGTCAAATTAGCAAAATTTAGACTACCTCTTTAAAGTCACAAGTGACCCTTTGCTCATCACCCCTCTTATGATCTTGTTACATCCAAAGACTACCATAAGGGATTTTTTTTTTTTTTACAAAATTTACAAGAAATTATTAACAGAGAAGGAAAGATAAAAATGGTAAAATAGAAACCCTTTCCTAAAGTAATTTTCAGAAGTTATAGGCAACTAGAGTGCAGTAAATAGGAGAAGAAAATCAATGAGCATTTTAACCCCCCACAGAAATACTGTTTTATTGCCATAGTGAGAAACACATGCTGCTCTGGGCCTGTGGCCTCAGTGCTCATGTTCCTCTAACCTGTTCCAGCCGGGCTCTGATTCTTGACACTGCTTATCTGAAACAACAGAGAAAGAATGAAAGGAAGGAAGGAAGGAAGGAAGGAAGGAAGGAAGGAAGGAAGGAAG